CACTGTGTCCATAAGTCCTCACTAGTCAAGCATCAAAAATCTGGTGCAGATCGGACGATATATCACTGAGATATAACAGTTTGATTAACCTAGGGGGCGCACTTGAGTCAAAAGTAAAACCACCATACCATTGCGTGTTTAAGTGCTTACTTATCACACACCAAAAATATGGTCCACATCGGATGACATATCACTGAGATATAACAGTTTGAATAATCTAGGGGGCGCACTTGAGTCAAATATTAAACAACAAAACTAAAATGTCCATCAGCTCTCAGTAATGATGCACCCAAAATCTGGTCCAGATCGGATGACATATCACTGAGATATAACAGTTTGAATAATCTAGGGGGCGCACTTGAGTCAAATTTTAAACAACACTAACAATGTGTTTAGACATGGTCACACATTATGCCATAAAAATCTGGTGCAGATCGGATGATATATCATTGAGATATAAGGGTTGGAATATTATAGGGGGCGCTCTAGAGTCAAAAGTTAAAAAACATTACTAGTGTGTCCATCAGGGCTACTTAATAATATACCAAAAATCTGGTACAGATCGGACGATATATCATTGAGATATAACTGTTGCAAGATTGTAGGGGGCGCTATAGAGTCAAAATTTAAAAAACATTACTACTATGTCCACCAGGGCTAAATAATAATACACCATAAATTTGGTGCAGATCGGCTGATATATCACTGAGACAAAACAGTTTGAATAATGTAGGGGGCGCCCTTGAGTCAAATATTAAACAACAAAACTAAAATGTCCATCAGTTCTCAGTAATGACACACCAAAAATCTGGTTCAGATCGGATGTTGTATCACTGAGATATAACTGTAAGAAGAATGTAGGTGGCGCTGTGGAGGTTCTTGGCCACTTATCATGGAAACCTGTTCAGAGGTGGATAATGATCAATCATAGTGATTTTGGTTCACCTGGGCTCAAATCTGTGCAATTTAGAGCCAAACGTATTGCAACGGCGTCACTTTTTAATTCGCCATGGCGCCACGCCCACATTCTCCAGCTATAACTGTTTTGTTGTTTAAATCAAGTCAGACCATGTTATCTGTCTTCTAACACAGGATCATCCTGATTATGTCAAGGGTGTCAAAGAAGGAGCGTTCCAATAAAAAAAAGTCACTTCCTGTTCTGAGGGGGCGGGGCTTTGATGACGTCACAATATGACCTCAGGGTATCGTCGGGCATGGGAGAGGGATGACTCATGCCAAATTTGGTGCAAATCTGTCATTCAAGTTGAAAGTTATAACGTTTGGAAATTTATGGCGTGAAGCTCAACTTTGAGGCCTGGCCACGCCCCTTTAACAAAACGAAACCGAAAGCTTTTGATAACTTTTACTCTCCAATGTCTTAAGGACCTAATAACCAAGTTTTAAGTCAATCCTTCAAAATCCCTAGGAGGAGTTCGTTAAAATTCGCCGTTAAAAACGCCCAAAAATTAACCTTTGACCCAAAATGGCCGACTTCCTCTTGGTTTTGGACCGGAGCGCCAAGAGACTTTTTCATAGGTCCTGAGAAGATACACATGTTCACCGAGTTTCAGATTTATCGGTCGAAAAACGGCTCGGGGCTGAAGTTTTAAAATATTCTAGGGGGCGCTAGAGAGGCTATTGCGCAATCATCATTGTTTCCTGTTCAAGGGGCGGGCAATGATCGATCATAGTGATTTTCATGAACCTCGGATCAAATCTGTGGAATTCAGAGCCAAACGTATTGTAACGGCGTCACTTCTGACTTCTCCACGCCGCCACGCCCACATCCTCCAGGGGAAACGCTTTGCGCTTCAATGCAAGTCAGTCCAACTTGTTATCTGCCTTCTGACACAGGATCATCCTGATTGGGTCAAGAGTGTCAGGGAGGGAGCATTCCAAGCAAAAAAAGTCACTTCCTGTTCTCAGGGGGCGGGGCTTTGATGACGTCACAATATGACATCAGGGTATCGTCGGGCATGGGACAGAAATGAGTCATGCCAAATTTGGTGCAATTCTGTCTTTCAATGTGAAAGTTATAACGTTTGGAAATTTATGGCGTGAAGCTCAACTTTGAGGCCTGGCCCCGCCCCCTCAACATGCGTCAATTTGCACCGTTTTGATAACTTTAGGTCCCCCATGCCTAATGAGCAAAATGGCGAAGGTTTGAAACCGATTGAGCGAAATCCCTAGGAGGAGTTCGTTCAAATTCGCCGTGTACGAAAAGTGAAAAACGTCCAAAATTGACCCTTTGACCCAAAATGGCCGACTTCCTGTTGGGTTTAAGGCATACCTCCAAGAGACTTTTTTTCATGATTCGGTGGGTTCTACATATGTACCAAATTTCAGCTCTCTAGGACTTACCAGTTGTCATATCTCACGTTAGGGGGCGCTGTAGAGCAGTTTGGCCACGCCCACTTTTGGTTCCATTATCATACTACTATTTCTCGCGGGGGACAATTTTGGGTAAAGTTTGGCTAGGTTTCCAATATGTTAACCCCTCCAAATAAGCGTTTCAAAGCGGAAGAGAATTATAATAATAATAATAATAAACAGCACAATTACAATAGGCCTTCGCAGCGCTTTGCTGCTCGGGCCTAATAATAATTTCACTTAGGGTGCCCCCTAGTGGTCTCGTGGCCCTAAGCAGCCGCTTAGTTTGCTTATGCCTTGGGCCGGCCCTGTTGCTGCAGAGTACGACCGCAATTTGAATTAATATTCAAACCGTCCAGAAGGCTGCAAAGTTCAGAGCTTGATGGTTATCTTGCTGGTGCTACAGACACTATGGAGCTCCTGCTCTCCTAAGAAGCTCTCTCTGAAGCTGAATTCAGCTCTGCATCTGCTGCATGTGAACGACTTTAGTTGTGCTGGGCTACTCTTCACAGCCAAACGAAGCCGCATGGGCTCTAGAAAACCAGCTCCTGCTGACACAGAACAAAAGGTTCAGAAAGTGAAGGGTGACAGAAATGTCAGAGTTTAAGACTCTTACCGCCTGTTGTTCGCAGTGTATTTGTAAAAGTTTTAACTGTTGTACGCCGGTTCAAAAACATTTTTGTCTTTCTTTTAACAAAAAAAAAAAAATCCTACTTTATCTACAATTGTTTACACAAGAAATGGCCTTAGTGTAGTTTTTCTACTTTATTATTTGTCTGAGAAATGTGCTTTGAATGTACCCATTATATACAGTAAATCAAACTGAATGGCTTTTATTAACACAATAAAACAATTGGTTTAAAAAGTAATTAATACTCTGAGTAGTTTTTGAGAAGATCACTTTGTACTTTTACTTAAGTATTTTTATAACTTGTAACCGAGTACAATTTAAGCAGAGTAACAGTACTTGAGTACAACTCTTTCCACCTCTGTTTGTTCTATGAAACACACGTGCGTGTTTTTCAAGGAAGTGATTGATGGTAAACAAATAGATGCTTTAGTTGTTTCTGCTTGTTGTTTTAACAAAATGTAGTTTTGTTGACTGTTCTCTCTGTCGAATGATTAATTACTTCCTGGCTTTTCTGCCGGTCCATCCACTTCCAGCCAGAGAATTTACTGTACGACACCATAGACGAAGACTCCAAGATCATGATCAGCGACTTTGGTCTGTCTAAAATTGAAGGCTCTGGCAGTGTGATGTCAACAGCCTGCGGGACGCCCGGATATGTTGGTAAATGATCAGATACTGCTTTAAAACGAGTCAAACCATTTCAGATGTTGAGCATGTAGAGTTGTCACAGCGACACAGTTTAAATGTGAAATATGTGCAGTAAGTTTCAGTGTGGTCTCTGATCCGTGTCCTGTTTTTTTTTGTTTTTAAGCCCCTGAAGTTTTGGCACAGAAACCTTACAGTAAAGCAGTGGACTGCTGGTCTATTGGTGTCATTGCATACATTCTGTAAGTTCATGTTTAAAGTCGTTCTTACTCGTTAAAACTCTTTTCTGTCTTTAAAACTTAGCAAAGATAAAGTAGTTGAACTTTTTTCTGATCGGATGCAATGTTTCAGTGCAATTTAAAACTTTCAAGTCTGACACAGTATGAATTTTAACGCTAACATTTTCAGGATTCACAATTAATGATAAAATATAAGAAACATAAAGGAAAATATTTACAATGGAAACTCACATCTTGTTTTTTTTTTAAATTTTTTATATATATAGAAAACTATCTGGCTTTGGTCACTTTAAGTGGGTTAATACTATCCCAATGTCATCCAAAAAAGTTATTTGTTTTTGTGAAAACAATATTTTTCAAATATTTTAAACCATATATTTGATGAATATTTGTACAGCCAGCTTATGAAATCATAAAAGACTGCCATTGTGTAATGCTCTTTTTAAGCATGAAACATTATTGTTGCAGGGTTCTTGTGAGATGTGGCACTTTACATAACCTTTAGGGTTGTTGCTGCTGGTATGAAACAAACATTTTAAATTAATATAAGTTGTTTAAACAATTCAATCTCTCAGTTACAGCATATAAAATAATGAATATGATGAATAAGATGCAATGAATAAAACTTGTAGCATGCTGTGGGTCAGACGTCCTGTTTACCTGTGCTCTCCTCCGTCTTCCAGCTTGTGTGGATATCCTCCTTTCTATGATGAAAATGATGCCAAACTGTTTGAGCAGATCCTGAAGGCAGAATATGAGTTTGACTCTCCATACTGGGATGACATCTCTGACTCTGGTAGTGCAGATATTAAATATTGTTCATTGTTATAAAGCCTTGAGCCTGACTTTTTAAAGCTATAATTTTTTGTGCCATGTAACCATAGAAAAGTTAACATTAAATATCAATGTGACTGAAGCAAGCTTAATCCACACTTGTTGGCTTGTTTAAACATTAGAGTTCCAGCATAAATAGTCAAACTTTTTTTTTTTTATTGCAGCTAAAGATTTCATAGTTCACCTGATGGCGAAAAGCCCGACTGAACGCTACACCTGTGAGCAGGCTCTGCAGCACCCCTGGTATGGCTCTTGTACTTCGGTTACAATTATTATTATTACCCTCTCTGTTGTAAAGCCTCAGTGAACCTGAAGTCTCCGGCTTTAAATTATATTTTTCTTTAGTTCATTGTAAATGTATGATTCCTGCTCACTAACACTTCCTGTCCTTCTGTTAGGATTGCCGGGGATACCGCCCTGGACAAGAACATTCACGAGTCTGTCAGTGCACAGATAAAGAAAAATTTTGCAAAGAGCAAGTGGAAGGCAAGTCAGACTCAGTTTACAAAAGACCATTTTGATTTTTTGTCTTTGTAGTAAAACCGGAAGAGTTGGCAGCTTCGTTTTAGCTACAAGTTTTCTCCAAATGCTGGACTCAATGTGCTGCTTGTTATGCTCCAATTGTGTGAAAGCTTATGAAGCATTCACACAATTTTGTTCCGGTTCAGCTTCTTTCAGCTTCCTTGTGCGGATTTAAACTTCATCCTGCTAATTTCAGCTTGTTATGCTCCTTTCAGCTGATTTCTGCAAGTTTCAGCTACTATGACGCTTTGTGCTAATTTGAGCTTTTTCAGCTAATTTTGACATTTGCTGCACTCGTTTCAACTTTTTCCAGCCTAATTCAGCAAAAATGTGCTCTCTTTCCACTTATTGTAATTTAAGATTCTTTCTGCTTTTTTAGCTACTTTTCAGCTATTTTTTTTGATAATTTCAGCTTTTTTATGCTAATTTCTGGTTCTTTCAGCAAACATGTTCTTTTTTCCTTTTTATGCCAATTTAAGCTTGTTCTACCTTTTCAGCCACTTTTTTTGTAGCATATTTAGCTAATGTCATCCGTTTTCAGATAAATTCAAGTTTTTTGCAGTAATTTCTGCTACTTTCAGCCTAATTAACTTATCTCTGCTAATTTCAGCTTGTTATGCTCCTTTCAGCTTTTTTCGGCTTCTTTTAGCTTTTTCTGCTATTTCAGTTATTTTTTAGCTGTTTTGTGCTAAATTAGCTTTTTCAACTAATTCCACTTTATTAATTAATATATATTTTTTAGCTCATTTCAGCTCCTTTCACTTCCTTTTGGTAGTTTAAGCCTCTGCTTTTGCAGCTACTTTTCAGCCTTTTTTTTGGCTAGATTCAGCTTTTTAAATTTCCCAATTTAAGTGCTCATTTCTGTTTATGTAAACCTAATTCAGAAAATATGTGTTCTTTCTGCTTTCTTTCACTAACTTAGTCTTGTTCTTCCATTTCAGCTACATTTCAGTATGTTTTTAGCTAATTTAAGCGTTTTTTCAGCAAATTCTTCAGCAGTAAGCATTCACACTGCATTTTAGCTGGACATTTGATTTCTCTAGTTTTATTTTTTAATTATTATTAAAAGAATTAGAGATTTGTTCTAACCGCAGAACCTGAGACTAGACAAGACGTGAGATTTTGTTGCTGATGGATCCTGTGGTTTCTCCTCTGCAGCAAGCGTTCAATGCCACTGCAGTGATTCGTCACATGAGGCGTCTCCAGCTGAGCACTGGTATGGAGGGGCCCAGCCCCCCTCACCTGCTGATGCCAGAGGAAGATCCAGGTACCAGCTGGTGGCAGAGGAATCTGTTTATTCATCTAATTCTGACTGAACTGAGCACTAATATAAAATGTTTCTCTCTCCATCTCTTAGAGGCGTGCACCCTCCGCTGCCACCTGAACAGCAGTGTGTGATACACAACCTGCTTCATGTACGCATAGATCCCCAAATCACTTTCCAGTTTTAACTTCCTCAGTGGGTCCAGAGGCACCACCATCTCCTCCTCCTTTGTCTGGCTGGGAATACAGCGTCATTCCAACCTGTCGCCTGCAGGGGGAGCAAGACTGTTGAGCCTGGGAGGGAAGGACAAAGTTTGAAAAGGAGGTGGAGGAAGACTTGGTATTAATCATGATGCAGCAGAGTGGGTTTTTTCCTTTTTTTGAATGAGATGAAATGGATACCATGGTAGGAGAGTACACAACCTCCCCCACGTTTGTGTTGAGATGGAGGGGTTGTTTTTACAAGAGCAGGGCAGAACTCGTTGGACTATTTTTTTTTTAAATTCAGCCTGGTTCTTTGTTGGTTTTATCGTTTTGTATACATTTGTGTTGCGTCATTTGCTTCCTACTTTTAAGCTCAACTCTGTGTCTGCATGATCAGGAAGGGGGCAGTTTCCCCATTGCATGATTTATCCTTAAACTTCACTGTTGCAGAAATGCCGCGTCGCATTAAAGAGCGAGCGTTGTTCAATGGTTGAATTGGCAAATTTTACATCTTCAAGAGGATCAGCAACGGAGCAGATTTATTTAATGAACATGACATTTACTCGCTATGTAGCCTTTCTTGTGGAATTATAATGTTTCCATGCAGTGGTTCTGCCTCCTGGGAAGAAAAAGGCTTTAATTTGTCGTTTTTTTTAAACTCTAAACTTCTTTAACAAAAGATTAATTCTTGTCTAAGGTGCCTTTAGGAAGGATTTATTGGTGGTAGCTTGTTTAAATATGGGGACTACTTCCTGTAACATTATATTTTTGTATGTCTTGTTAGGTTAAATTGCAATTTTAGTGTATTTTTTATACAGCTTAACTGTTATAGCCGCAGCTTGCATAATTGTAAAAATATTTTCAGGCAGTTCAGATGTAAAATCATCTACAGAGTTCTTAAAATCTTGTATTTGCAAACGTATCTCCAAACGTCTTTGACAGATCTGAAATAAGTAAGAAAAAAATCTTATTCTATCATCATCATAAATAATCCTTCTCCACAATAAACTTGGTGTACATATTTTTATAAACAAAACTGCTTAAAAACCTGATAATATGCATCAGATTGACTCGATCCATTATAGTTTACACACATTTTTATATGTTCGTATCGAGCTTATTTTCTTTATGTTTGTTTTTTATTGATTTTGCTCCCTTTAAAATAATTTGCTGGTGTTGGTTCTTTTTCCTGTGACTCGCATTTCTTTTTTAAATTCATATTAATTTCTAGAGTCCTATTTATCAGACATTTTGCACCAGTTTTTTTTTTTTTTGTCTGAGTTTGTTGCTGTAAATGAAGTGGGTGTTTCTGAGCTCTCAGTAAAAATAAGTTTCTTCCTTTAGTGTGAACTTCATTCACTCAATTTGTTCTTTTTATTTAAATATTTTAGCTTATTTCGACTCCTCCATCTCTGATTCTTCAGTATTTGGTTCTGCTACACTGAGTGGCTTTAAAAGGAGAGATTTGACTCTAATCTTTTACTCTCTAATTGATTCAAAATCATGCAGACAAATAAAAAGCAAAAGTATTTTACAATTCTTTAAACAGGTTAAAGAAGCTTTATTGTGCTGCTTAAAAAAAAAAAGGTATCTTTGAGCTTTATTGTGCAGTTTTGTTGGGTGGTGGTTCTGTGTTTGGACAGTAATGCAAATGGTAAATCAAAACTAAAGTGCATTTAATAGTCATTATTTTTCCAGAAAAATGTTCTGTGAGTTGTTTGTCCTGAAATACTTTCTAACAGAGAAACTAAAAATATGTGGATGTTTGAAAGGAGCCAGTCTTATCATTTTTAGCAGATTCTATAATATATTTAAATCTCCTGATAAAATTTGGACAAATTTCCCCAAAAAACATTCATTTTTGACTGAATTCTTTCTTTTTTTTTGCCAACTGATGATTACTTTCACTAAAGTTAATGAAGTGAAATGTTTTCCTACAGAAATAACAAATAAATTCAACCATTAAAATAAGATAAGTTCATAACTGTGACCAGATTTAAACGCTGACGCTACTGAAAGATTAAAAACTGGTTAGCATGTGTCTTACTCGCTGATTACTCATCTATATTAGAAGGAAACAGGCTTTAAGGGCTGCCAGACAGCTGCAGCGTTAACATTTGAATTGGTAATAAACACGTTCCTCTAAACTTTACATCAGTCTGAAGGAAGGCATTTAGAGCATTTATTTCTTCCTTTGCTCTTTATTGCTTTTAGAGAATTAACCATTTTGTGCTGAGATCTGTTGTACAAAGAAGTATTTGTACTGTAAACCTGTTGCCTTTTAATAAATACTGTTTGGGCCTATAGCATCCAATGTAAAAACAAATGTAATGCACAACGAGCTTTTAAAGATGACTACTGTTTAATGTGAAAGTCAGTGAGTTGGATCATTTTCTGCTTGCTTGGAACACATTTGTCATGGATACCTAAATTAAAGTCCCATCTATGCATTATGTGTCTCAGGTCATTTGTGAAAAGAAGAATAAAAATCATATAGCATTGTAAATCATTGATTAAAACAAGCTAAGCACAGTTTTAACACATGCAGATCAGCTTTTAATGTGTAAATGATTTGATTTGCAAGGAGCTGATGTGTCTGAAAGCAGCACAAGAGGATGAAGATGGTTGCACATGAAGCAATAGTGTTATCAGGCAGTTGCTGGAGCGTTCAGTGAGTGAAGGCCAGCACACACAAAGGATGCCTCAGACATATTAATAGTTTCGGTATAGGCTGTAACGTGTCACGTGGTTTCAGCATGCCGGCAGGTAAAACGCAGACATATGACAAACAGACTACGTGTTTACACCCAGAGCTGTATAGAGCTGCCCTACAGCTTGTATGTCTATGGTGCTGGTCACGCTCACAGACGGGGTCAGATGTGATACAACAGTTGTATGATGGTCTTGCATTGAATCACTGCTTGTATCCAGATCAGGCCACACTCTGACCATCTGTACTGCCAGTGCCATTTTATATTTGATCTTATGTTATATTCATCAGAGTACAGTGACGTGACCGCTCCACATGTGCAGTTTGGTATAATTTATTTATAATTTATAGCATTCCATCTGGGTGTTTAACTCGTTTCTGACAGTGTCTCATGAAAATAAGATGGTTTCTTTCCATTTCTGGAAACAAATTTTTAGAGGTATTCTGAAGATTCATGTGAGAGCTGATTCATCATTCACACTATTGTTATCCAGATAATTTTTTTTTTTTAAAGAAAACTACTTTTGCAAACTTTATGCAATTTTACCCAATTATAGATCAAAATGTTCAGATCATTCTGGAGATGGGTGCCATGGCATTAGCTTTGTGTGTGTGTGTGTTTCATCATTTTCAATTTTATACATTTTCTCACCAATGCAGTGAGAGCTCTTCAATTCCTGAAAAAAACAAAACATTGTCATCTTCTTCAGCAAACGCACTATTTTTGTCTTCTTATTCCACTTCCAGCTTTCATTCTGCTACTTATGCTGTATCTGCTACTGCTGTTTATTTCTAAACTAATTTTGTGCAACTTTGACTTTTTAGATAGTTTGCTTATTTTAATTATAGGCTTTTGCCATTTTTGTCTTCTTATTTTTATTTTTAACTAACATTATTCTTCTATCTTTAACACGTAAGCAAATTCTAAAGGCTGCACAGAAGACTGTTGGAGTCAGCCTCCCCACCGTCACAGACATCTACACCTCTAGATGCAGGAAGAGGGCCACCTGCATCATGGAGGACTCCACTCACCCAGCACACACACTCTTTGCCCCGCTCCCCTCAGGCAGGAGGTTGAGGAGCATTAAATGTAGAACCACTAGACTGAGGAACAGCTTCTACTCTGAAGCTACTCATCAATCCCTAATCAGGATAATCACTGTGAAAAAAATAAAATAAAAATCACTGTAATCGCCACTTTGTTGATATGTGCTGCTGAATGTCTGTGCTGCTGATTTATTTCATGTTGCTGTGTTTATTCTAACTTATCTGCTCACACAGACTCATGTTCGTGCTGCTGTTGTTGTTCGACCTATTGTTTTTGCACTATTAAGTGTTTAGCGTATTTCTTAGTTCATATCTTAGATCTCATTACTGTTTTTCTTTTACAATTTTCACTTTTGCTATTGTTGGATGTAACTGGGACCTGGTGTACACAATTTCGTTCCACCTCATGTACCACATGTGATGCAAATGACAATAAAGAACCTTGAACTTGACACTTCAACAGTCATTCAGTAGTCAGCATTCCCAGTGCTTTTTCACAGAAAATGCATTTTTCTAGTTTCAATAACTTTTTCTAAAAGTGAAATTCTGCTTCAGTTTACCTCCCTGAGATAAACCGAGTCTTGTGGCATAAAAAGATTTGTCGTGAGGGTTAATTTCATATTCGGCTACACGAGGACACTCGCGTCCTCTCCAAGGAATGCTGGGTAATTGTGGCTTGTGGCTTGGCTGCTGGAGGAGCCAGCGGACAGAGTAAAGAATGATGCGGTCGAGCCAGAACCAAGGGACTGGTTCCAAATAAAGAGGGAATTTACATGAATTATAAGGTACAGAGAGCTGAAAGAGGCAAATCAAAGTGGAAAAATTGAAGTGAGGCATAATCTTAGCCCCACGTTGAACAGTACACTAAAGCAAAATGGACCAGAAGACAATAAAAACACAGCTTGATAAAAACACAGCTATAAAATTTTAATTAGTTCACATCCTCCTCCAAGAATGTGCTCTCTCGCCTGCCTGGAATGTGAAACAGACGAGTCAAAAGATGAGCCAAAGCAACAACTGTGATGACAGACGCATCCTCAAGAGCTGTGGAAGATGAATTATCGAATTTAAACCTTACAGAAGCACAAAGAGCAAATTGCTGATGTAGAAGTGGGCAATAAGGCGCAACATAAACACATCTGCTGTCAATGTGAACCCAGTCTCATCAAACTATAGAACTGGCTTCAGAATACTTGTTAGAGGAAGTTATGCTACCTATATTACTGACAGATATTTATTCAGCACATCACAGAAAATGATAGTTTCGATCTTTTGATTTTGTTTCAGTAAAAAGTTTATGAAAAAAAAAACATCTTACCTGTTGTAGATATCAGTTTGAATGAGCTCAGTTTGGAGAAATTGAGTTTGACTTAGAGAGTACACAATTATTTACTCAGAATTCTGTGGTTACTAGATTACATGATGGCGGTACTTCCCATGTAACACTAAACCTAAACACTAAATTGTTGTTTCAAATTAACTACTATGACATTTTAAAGATCAAAATATGCTTAAAACGCAGTGGCAAACCGTGACTGTAAGTGTTAGGCTTTCAGTTTGGATGCAGTATTGTAACATTGCAATAAAGCGCTACCATTGAAGACACTATGAATTACATTATCCAGTTACATCACTATCTGTTCAGATTTACAATTCGGTGACAGGAAGTGCTTCTACTTACCAAGTACAACGTCTGACTTGTGGTGCCATTACTTTTACAGTCACTAACAACAACCTGAACATGAATGCAAACCCACCACTAAACAGAAAAACCAACGGGGACTGAAAACATACCCTGAAAAAGTCCACCCATTTCTGACCCAAAATTACCCAGAATGCCCTGCAGTTCACACCGTTCAAGTTCAAGTACAATTGGGGAGTGGTGGCGCAGACGTTAGAGAAGATTGGATTGTGATCGGAAAGTCGCAGGTTCAACTCCCGGTACTGTCAACATCAAAATGTGGGTGGAAAATGTGAAACACCCACACCTGCCTCCACCCTCATTTGCCACACCCTGGACCCATGAGCAAGGCTCTTAACCCCCAACATCTGCTCCCTAAACAGGTCTCTCTTGAAAATGAGTTCTCGTGGCTCAATGAGACCAC